GGTGTAGGAGATGATGACAGCATGTCAAGTTTACAGTCTTTGGATATGGGATCAGATATATCCATGGACTATAGGTATAAGAGGGATGTAAGTTTAGATTCGAGGTTGTCAAGTGGATCAACGCAGAGTGAGATTACTGGTGAGAAGAAGAAGAAGAAATCGTTGATGGGTAAACTTAAGAAATTGACTAAGTCAAGGAGTATTGATGATTCAGATGATTCACATTTCTCACCTAGTAAACCATTATCATCATCTAGGGTAAGTAAAATGTATTTTCTACGTCCACCTTTAAAGCAACTCTTTTTTCACGGTTTTGAGACATGAAAAGGGACACTTTAATCATGGATGTACAAAGCCGTGACTAAAGTACTTTTTCTACGGTTTATCGTCACGAAAAGTGGCACTTTAATCACGGACTGCTAAGGCCCTGACTAAAGTGCTTAGTGGAAGAACGCAAAACGTTGATAAAGTGCCGTTTAGCGCACTTGATACTTATTATAATATTTTGTTAAATAAAAAATAATTTTAGGCACCCAGTCAAAGTTCAGATATTGAAGACCCCAAAGGTAGTAAGAAGGATTTGAAAGATCGTATCACAGGGATGTTTAAAAGAAGTGGGTCTCAATCTAGGTCAAACAGGTAAATTGACTTAAGTAATACAAAACAAGAAAACTGACTTAAGTCATATTTGTGTTTCTCAGTGTGGAAAGACAGATTAAACAAGACACGAGCTCAACACAGCGCCCTCTGATGCGTAGCGCAAACGGGGGCACATCAACCACCCCAAATTCCGTAAGTCAACCCTTAAAAACTACCCCAAAATTACCAAAAATTAATTTTTTGATTTTCTATTTCCAGAGCACGGATAAGCTTGCAAAACCCAAAAAGAACATCAAATTATAACCTCTACAAGTAGCATAGATTAGTATAGCACATTTTTGTTTATAAGCACGTTAATTTTGTTATCGTTTCACGTTGGTTTATATTCGTTTAAATTTAGTTACAAACTTTTCACCATGATAATATATTAATGCAATCGGCGAGCAA